ACGTAATTTACCAACTCAGCTAAACTCCCATGCTAGTAACTTCTCACATCGGGAGAACAAAGATCGGTCCTTTTAATTACCTCCGTGACGCAGATGTTCTCCAGTTGCCGGTACGCGGTGGAGGTTTTATCGGTCAGGTTGGCGGTGAACGTCTGGTCAATCCTCAGCAGAACTTTTACCTGCGACTCTGGAGCTGAGAAGCAGAATCTGTTACTGAACAATTTGAACCATTTACAAACAGAGATAACCTATGTACGATACCGCCAGTGTGAAGTATATTGTAGCCGTTGCGCTGGCAGCTATATTAGACCTACTTTCCCTCTGAATAGTTGTAGACGCACTTCTATTACTAAAATAGGTAAGTGTATACTATATTTTACCTGGTGTAGGTGTGGTAGCTGCGGCTGTAGTAGGGGGTGCAGCAGTAGATGCACGGACAGTTGTATTGCCGCTGGTTTGAGGCGACGTTGTACCATTTGACGTTGCCACAGTGGTTGGCATAGTCGTTGCGCTGTCGGTTGTAGTAGGTGCAGCGGCAGTTTGAGTTGTTTGTTTGGCAGTAGTTGTATCTACAGCTGTTGTTGCCTCTGTGGTTGTAAGGACGGTGGTCCCTCCTGTTGTTGTCTGACGTGCGGTGCTTCCTGCGGTCGTTGCGTTTTCAGTACTCTGCATCTGTGTTGTAACAGCCACTGTTGCTGCCTCTGTTGCTTCAGCAGTTGTAATGATGGTTGTTGCCTCGGATGCATTGGTAGCGGTGGTTGTAACATTTTCAGTGGTCTGTAACGATGTTGTAGCGGCTGCTGTTGTCGCCTCTGTTGTCTCCGCTGTTGTAATGATGGTGGTTGCCTCGGATGCATTGGTAGCGGTGGTTGTTACATTTTCCTCAGTCTGTAATGTTGTTGTTTCTGCGGCTGTTGCACTCTCTGTTGTCTCGGTTGTAAGAACGGTTGCTGCAGTCGTTGTCTGGGTGACAGCTGCAGTGGTCGCCGTTTCAGTACGCTGTAACGACGTTGTCTCATCAGCTGTTACAACCTCTGTTGTGACAGCAGTTGTTGAAGCGGCTGTTGTACCCGTTGTCTGTGGTGCTGATGTAGCTGGTTCAGACACCTCTTCCGTGGTTTGTAACTGTGTCGTTTCTGCAGAAGTAGGAATGGCGGTTGTTCCGTCTGCCGTGACCTGAGTTGTCAGAACCGTTGCTGTCTCATCTGTAGTCAGCGCTGGTGTTGTCTCTGGTGCTGCAATCTCGGTAGTGACCTCTGTCACGTCAACAGCGGCGGTGGTTGTTATATCTTCGGTTTCCGTGGTTCCTTCAGCCATGGTTGTTGTCGCTAACACTTCTGTTGTAATCACCTTAACGTCCGTTGATCCCATGGCATCTGTTCCGGTAGCGGTTGTTACTTCAACTGTTGTAACTTCAGCGTCTGTAGGTGCTGTTGTTGTATCGGCTTGTGTAGCGTCCGTCAACATCTCAGTAACCGTGTCCGAGGTTGTGGGACCAACTGTCTCCGTAACACTGATGGTGTCTGTAGTTTCTAGTAGCTCTGTTGTCGCGTCTGTCGCACCAGTGACCGCGTCTGTCGTCTCTGTTACGGTTGAATCTGTCACTGCATCTGTGACCACGTCTGTCGCCTCCGTTGCTTCCTGAGTTGTAGTCAGGCCTGTCACTTCTGTGACAACGTCTGTGGCCTCTGGCGTGGTTGCTCCAGTCTCTTCTGTGAAAGAGACGTCTGTGGATTCTGTAAACACCACTGACGTTGCAGTCACCATTTCTTCCGTGGCGCCCTCTGTAGCCGCCTCGTTCGCTGTTACACCCTCGCCTGTAGATGCTTCCGTAACGGTTTGTGTCACAGGCTGTTCTGTTGAGTCGACGAACACTTCAGTGATGTACGTGATCGTGTCTGTAGAGTTGGTGGTCTCATCGGTCTCGTCTGTGACGGTTGGCGTGTTTGTGACCACCTCAGTGACCGTCTCGGAGACCGACTCCGTGGATTCTGTTACAGGCTCAGTGACGTATGTGATCGTGTCGGATGAATTGGTGGTATCCTCTGTAACGCTTTCGGTAGCTGTCATTTCAGTTGCACCCTCTGTCGCATCTGTAACGCTTTTGGTAGCCATTTCGGTTGTAACCTCTGTCGCGTCTTTAACGCTTTCGGTGGCTGTCATTTCGGTTGTACCCTCTGTCGCGTCTGCAACGCTTTCGGCAGCCATTTCAGTCGTACCCTCGGTCGCGTCTGTAACGCTTTCAGTGGCTGTCATTTCAGTCGTACCCTCGGTCGCGTCTTCAACGCTTTCGGTGGCTGTCATTTCGGTCGTACCCTCTGTCGCGTCTGTAACGCTTTCGGTAGCCATTTCAGTCGTACCCTCGGTCGTGTCTGTAACGCTTTCGGTGGCTGTCATTTCGGTCGTACCCTCGGTCGCGTCTGTAACACTTTCGGTAGCCATTTCGGTTGTAACCTCTGTCGTGTCTGCGACACTTTCGGTAGCTCTTTCGGTAAACTCTGTAGCGTCTGTAACGTTTTCGGTAGCTGTCATTTCCGTTGTACCCTCGGTCGCGTCTTCAACGCTTTCGGTAGCTGTCATTTCAGTTGTACCCTCTGTCGCGTCTGTAACGCTTTCGGTGGCTGTCATTTCAGTCGTACCCTCGGTCGCGTCTGTAACGCGTTCGGTAGCTGTCATGTTAGTTGTGCCCTCTGTCGCGTCTGTAACGCTTTCACTGGCTGTCATTTGGGTCGTACCCTCGGTCGCGTCTGTAACGCTTTCGGTGGCTGTCATTTGGGTCGTACCGTCGGTCGCGTCCGTAACGCTTTCGCTGGCTGTCATTTGGGTCGTACCCTCGGTCGCGTCCGTAACGCTTTCGCTGGCTGTCATTTGGGTCGTACCCTCGGTCGCGTCCGTAACGCTTTCGCTGGCTGTCATTTGGGTCGTACCCTCGGTCGCGTCTGTAATGCTTTCGCTGGTTGTCATTTCAGTTGTACCCTCGGTCGCGTCTGTATCGTTTTCGGTGGCTGTTATTTCAGTCGTACCCTCGGTCGCGTCTGTAACGCTTTCGGTGGCTGTCGTCATTTCAGTCGAAACCTCTGTCGCGTCTGTAACGTTTTCGGTAACCATTTCGGCCGTAGATGCTTCTGTATCCGTCGGCTCTGTTGTCATTTCCGTCCCACCAGATACCATCACCACCGTCGTGACGTTGACGCCAGTGACGTCGGTTGTCATCCCCGTGGCCATCTCTGTTCCGTTCGCGGTGTTGTCCATCCCTGTCGTCACCGTTACAACTGTGGGGGAGTCCGTTTGTGTGCCAGTTGTGGTTACCGCAGCGGTCGCTACAGCTGCATTTTCTACAAAGGAAACAATGGTATATGTTTATTGTCTTCGTCAGAAGGACTATGAAATTGTCTCGCCGGAGTGTGGGGAACTGCGGATTTTGCGATATAACTCTGGAAGGCATGATTCGACGTCCATGATTTTTGGCAGGCAGATTACCGCTGTTAAGGCTGAAGTCAAGTACAAGTTTCGGCTTCGTGGGGGGTCCGTGCGTCACGTTAGTGCACCTTTTGTGTTTGTGGCTTGTTAGCAAGATAACTCAAGTATTTGTAAAATGTTGATTATAATTCTTGGTGTGGTGCTTACTATTGTCGGGACCAAGGTTAAGTTCGTTACTGAGCTTCGTGGGGGGTTTCGTTGTGACTACAGGGGGCATTTTGTTAATTTTTCTTGTGAGCAGGATAACTTTTGTATGTATGGATGGAAGTTAATGAAATTTGATAGGGATATTACTGTTGTGGTCTCCAAGATTGAGTTCAAAGATGAGAGTCGTGGAGGTCGTTATGTCCCCGTAATAGGACCTTTTGTGTTTAGAAATCCCCCACCTACATCTGCTTGGAGACAGCCGACAGCTGGATATAGCGGGGAACCCCATAATGGGATGGGATCAAATGACGTTACATTGAGGGATTGTACTATAACTTCAGCAGGGGAGGATAGGTTGGACATGTGACAGGTTATTTTCTACGGCCACACCAAGTAATTGCTATCGATGACGTCCACTGGAGACCTTAAATCTAATTTTCTTAAATTTAAGGCAAGCGCGCAATAAAAACACGAAGGGCCGAAAAACGAGATGCCTAGATTTGGAATATACTAACTGTAGAAGTACAAATGTTAGGACACAAAGAACACAAGAAACAAGTCTTCTATTTGTCATAAAGACAAATTAACAAAACAGCAGTAGTCACCCTGTTCTGATTCTTTCCTTTATAACATCTTCTCTTATTATATTTTGCGGCGCTGTCGTGACACTTTCAACACAGTAAGAATTTCTTGAACGTTTTTTTCCAGTAACAGTCCAAACTCAAATAACGTAGGGGGGGGGGCTAACACGGGTGACGACGCATCTGTATAATCTGCGGCAAACCGTTTCAGGGTGTTCTGTACCATAAAAATAGTACAGAGATTCTTTTGTTCTTTAGACCAAATTGATTATTAAAAAGATTAAAGAATACGCATGTTAATTTCTCTAGAACGATGTACCTCTGACGAAGACATGAGATCTCCGACCTCTTGTTTATTTTGTTTCCGTTATTTTGTTACAAGGTGGCCCATTAAGTGATTACACTTCTTTTCAATGGAGCCCTGTTTTACATCACAAAACACAACAGTCACATACAAACAGTAAAATTGGGATACAATAAATAATGATAATGGCAATAATGATAAAGGAAAAACAGCAAATAACCAATAACATTGATGAATAATGATAATAACAGAAAGTACAAAAGTATATGTCATCACACAGTCCTTGGACAACTTAGAGTGGCGCATGACACCACTTTGCTATTGGGCGATTCATGCTTACATTCTCCGCATTCTTAATATCATACACAACATTTTGATGTTCATTGAAACTCTCGCATCTGATATGCTTCATAAATTAAAATTATGTGCATTTCACATTATCATGACAACGAATTTTACCACTCACAAAGTATAACTTGATGATATAACGCCTATGTTATATAGAGCATCAAAACACGACGGCCAGTAAATACCTGCTACAGACCCTACTCAATGCACTGACCCGTAGCGTAGGCAACAACCATCGCATTTATGTCAGATCCATTGTTCAAAATTCTCATCAGTATTGTCCTCAATCAGAAAGCGCGCTTATTTATATAGAGATACACTTAGCAACTGCATTGAGGCGGATGCCCGAGTACACTTGTAACTATTTGTAGGATCAATTAATTATAAGTCCTAGAACCAGCGTAGTTCCGTTATGTACGTAGTCACGTTGGCCGGTGTAAGGGCACTTTTGCGTGGTGATGTATTGAAGCAATTCTGTTTGTGCTGTCCTCGGGAAAATACAATTATGGCTGAAGCCTCTCCGCTTCAAAAAGCTATCAGCTTCTCCTAAATGTAATTACTGTTCAAGGTTTTACTGACCAAAGGACTCTTCATCATTTAGGGCGTTGGTCCATTTAGCTACATGTACATGTAAAGTCTCATTCATTCTCATTCATTCATTCATTCATTTATTTGTACGTACTCAGAAAATTCTTCTAATATCGCAAAAGTGTTTTCTGGAAGTACTTAGAACCTTTCTTCTTTTCCTTCCACCCTTTTTTGGTAGGAATAGGCAAGTAATACTTGTGTCCAAACCTCGCATATTTTTGGGACCTTGATAGTGCTTTTAGTCGGTATCAGTCTTCACATTGTATAGCCTATTCATGGTGTCCTCCCCAAGGCCATATATTAGATACCTATTGACTAACGACCCGAACAGGGCCTGAATCTGGGGCTATCAGTATCCGGCTGTTACTATGCTAGCTAACACGCCATGTTTGGTGTTATTACAACAGACAAGCCGACTGTGTCGTCCTCAAATATTTGCACACCTAACAACTTAGGATACAAAAACCCGCAGGTTGACATATCTTGTCCATCCTTGGTTTGTGTTAAACGGCGTGTCCAAAAATGCCACAGCCCCATAACGGGACACTAACCACACCCGTTCTGGCCTAACTATTCTTGTCTCAACCAGTTACAATGAGCATTCTAAATGTTTTTTTTTTATATATATATATTCCAACATTTCATGACTAGACATGGTGACAGCACACCCAAGTTATTTTATGCCGCCACCAACAGCTGCAGAGAGGACGAATACAGGACAACACGATGCACAGGAAAGTCGTGTAAAGTGCCTTTCCCAAGGGCACAAAATCGGTGGCATGTCAGGACTCGAACCCGGGACAAATTGTTCGACCACAAAAATTCTTAATGTTACTCTATGTGCGAAAATTACTTTAATTATGTTTATTGTATCATCATTATTAGATGGCAAATGTTAGTAAGACAAGGTTTTTTTTAAAGTATTTAGAATGTAAATAGTAGTTACAATATCTGTATTTTACAATGTATGTGAGAGGACTCTAGGAAGAGTAGCGGTTGTATTGTCACTAATTTGAGGTTCCTTGAATAAACAAACAAACAAACAAACAAAGTCACGTGTCTATGATATCGTCACTTTTGAATGTACCTGTGTATGGCATCGCCATTTTTTAAATAGCGATTTTTACTCTTTCAAATTAAAATTTGTAAGAGTAAAGTCGTCAGGTCAGCAAAGCTCATCCCCAGTTTTCGCATATAGTAGAGCCAAAACCCGACATCGACATTCAATCTTAGCAACCTCTTACAGTAGCTTAAAGAATCTGGCCAAGACGTTCTATTTTTAGACTCTTGTTCGTTGGTGTTACTAGGCGTGTATTTCTCTGGGTTATCTGGTAAAATGTCAATCCATGTCTTCTTCAATGAAAATAGACATTCAAGTAAATTGAGGTACTCAAAAAACAATTACCTGAACAACTGGATAGATTTTGACATTTTAAAATCTATGCAGTTGCTTGAGTAACTGTTTTTCGGAGTAATGCAATTCTTCGTTTCTCACATTCTGGGCCCTTGATGCTTGCTTATAGTTTGTTTTTTTTATCCTTGAACTTTGAAGCAAAATATCTTTTCTGTATATACTCCACGCTCTGAATTCCAAGTAGACACGCTTGGCGTAGCCTCCACCAGGCCTTTCTACGGGACTACGGATCGTAGAATTCGGCAAAAAGGAGAATAAAATTGGCCAGGGGAGTCCCCCCACGAGGAGGTAATTTCTTTCCTAACTGCGCGGCCAGTCAAACCTACAAGGCGGCCAAACTCCCCTGGCAAATATTCTCCTGTATATATCCATCGTAGTTACTACGCTTGGCGGGTGTTCTCTTTCTGGTTGATCGCCTCCCGTTCTACCTAATGTCACCTGTTCCGGTCAGCAGCAGACCGTACCGGTGGCCTTACCTGGCCACACCCTGTTACAAAACATTAAACTCTAAAGGCATCCAATGCGATTTCAGAGTAGCAGAACTGGAAATATTCTGAATAGGGCAATCTTTAGGATGTTGACACATACTGCTTCACATTAGCACATTTCATACTTTGAGTATTTAAAACTGCAGAAACAAGCCACAATATGAGTCCTTTATTTCATGGGTGGTACCAGTGCCCTAGCTAGAAATCTATCCGTTGGCGGATCTTGGGGAGCGGACGAAAGCTAACAAGGCGGACACTCAAGCTACTAAAAATCGGCACAGGGCCCTTCCAGTAACCATTTTCTGTCAGAATTTTGGGCTTTTTTGCTCCATGAGGGTCAAGATACATTGGGACAGTGTGGTTTCAACTCAGTATGTAGATAAGTGAGTAGAATATTGCCTCGGAAAATCGTGTTTCCAAGCCCTAAAAACTGCACTGGATGCCTTTAGGAAGCGGCACACTATAGGAGAACTGAGAGTTTGCATTGACACGAGTAAGGGCTTTGCGCATTTCTATGTCAGAACCCGTGTAACTGCTGTAGTGCACTACTCTCCAAGTAGAGGTTTAGGCTTCGGCGTTTTTTTAGGCGTTTTTATTCGGCTTTCTTTTTTGAACCGGTATTGCACCTATCTTTACTGTTATCTCGTGACTCCTTGTATGTGCTTCCCGTCATCGTGGTATTTCGCGAGTACGTGTCCACAGGAATGTCAAAAAGGACACACCTGCACGAAGAACGCAGTATGAAAGTCTAACGCCACAGCCCACAAATAAATCTAAAAGTTGAATGGGTCCGTGGAATTCCAAAATAAACAGGCGCTAGAAACAAAAGTCCTGACAAGGGTCTACAGGAACAGGTGAACATACGGTCTATAGAACCTCAGACAAGGGCTTTCACCAAGCAG